GAGCAGCGCGGCGGCCGCCGGGCGGGCCTCGCGGCGCGCGCGCGCCAGGGCGGGCGGGAGCGGCAGCTCCGAGCGGGCGAGCAGCGCCCACCGCAGCAGGCGGCCGAACGGGACGCCGCAGAAGCGGCCTGCGGGCAGGGCGGGCGCGGCCTGTCAGCCCACCGATCTCTGGCGAGCACCCGTGTGGCTGGAAGTATCTGCGGCGCTGCACCCAGCCTTTGGCGGCGTCCCGCCCTCACGGACGAGCCCGCGCGTACGTGCCCAAGACCCATGCAACCGGCTACATATCTACATGGCTGCCTGGCTGCCTGGCTGCATGGCTGCATGGCGGCATGGACGCGTGGATGCATGGCGGCACATCCGCATAGCCGCATGGCCGCATGGGCGCATAGCCGCATGGCATCAGAGCTCAGGCCCCCCCCTCTTACCGTGCTCGTCCTTGCGTTCCCAGGCCAGCCGTATGGGGTCCTTCTTCGTCAGCAGGTTCTTGTAGCTGCAGAGGGAGTGTTCCAAAAGGAGCAGCAGGGGGCGCGCCATTTCACCGCCGCACCAAGCCGCGCGGCGCGGCAGCACAGCAGCGAAGGGCGACTGGGTCTGCGGCTAGCAGCGGGTCCGGGGCCTGAAGCGGGCGTGACTCATGCCGTGCCAGGATCAGGGTCCGGGCATAGAAATGCACTCTGCACGTCAAGTATGTGCAGCATCAACAATGGGACGCCTCGGTTGGGATGGTTGCAGCTCTGCACAAATCCAAAGACAGAGGTAGTTGCGGGGGGCCGGCCCTGGCGGGCTGCCCGCCCGCAGCGCACCGCTTCAGCCACTGCGCCGCGCCCCTGGGGACCAGCAGGCCCCGGCGGTCGAGGTCAGCGAAGAGCTGGGAGGGGGGCGCCCGCGAGGCCGGCGCAACCCTGTGGTTGCAGAGCACAAGGGCGGCAATATGATCATGCGGAATACGGTGGTGCTAGAATTCGCTTGTAAGCTGCAAGCGCCGGTTGCATATTTTGCGGGTTGCGTTCGGCGCGTGCCTCTCGAAGCGCCGGGCGCGTCGCGCGGGGCGGCGGCGCTGGTGGAGCGGCGGGGCTGCACGCGACGGGCGGCGCCGCCGGGCAGCAGCAGCGGCAGAGGCAGCAGCAGCAACGGCAGCCCCAGCCGCAGCACCTGCAGAGCGTGGTCCACAGAAGCTCGTCCTCCCCCGGCCCGAACAGCTGCCGCCCCAGCATCCGCACGTCCGGCCACAGCGCCGGCTCCAGGGCGGCCGTAAACTGGGCGCGCGGCAGGACGCGTTCGAGGGCCTGGGGA